AAAGAAAACCTAATTAGCTTATATAACTAACTGAACTGATTCACCACTATGACCCCGGCATAATTTACCCTTCTCCATCCAATGCACATTGAACGGTACGCGCAGAAACCATCGCTGAGCATTACGAAAGACAAACCGCAAGAAGCTGAACTCCAATTTGATGTAATTCTCTCTCTATTCTCCCTATTACAAGCTCCCCCTTCATTCAAGATCCTACTCTCTCTTCTCATCATCTCTCGTCTCTCCTCTCTCTTTTTTCATCCTACTCAAAGGTCTTCGCTAGAGTCCAAGGACTATTGAAAGAACAAAGCTATCTATTTTAAATTTGCACATAACAGGATCTGGACCAATATCTAAATCAACAATCTAACAGTAAAAATACTTTCTTTCCGCAATACCTATGGACACCTTTAAATGCTTTAGAACAAGTAGAATCTTTTTATAAATAGAAACCAGTTCTATGAAGGGTGAGCCTCTCAATATGCTATAAGATAAGTAACCGATCTTAATAGAGTGTGTTCTTTAGAGAATCTAGATAAATGTTGTAGTACACGCACTACATATTAGGAAATCATTTTTAACAACCTCTAAAATGAGATAGTTAATCTATAAAAATTAATACTTAGATACAGTTATTTAAAGTTTTTTAAGGAAGGTACCGGATTGTAGTAACTACTTAACTTCAGAAGTTTTGAAAAGAAACTCATAAAAAAACTTACAAATCAAATGAAAAAATGAAAATGAACACGTCATAACAAAAATTTCCCAATTCTTCAGGAGAAAAAGATCATTGGTCCTCACGTTCTAAAAGCATCGCCCTGTGAACAGACACTACAATGGTTATTTTAATGCCCCCAAAAATGGTATTTGGCAATAAATTTATTTCCTTTTAACGAAATACCAATCCGAATATATATTAATATTGCTGGAATAGTCCTGACGATGAAATTTGGCTTGATCGGCCCGGTTGTCCTGATCTCTCAATGATATGCCTAAGGGGAATTTGAATACTAATCAGTCAAATAGTCAAGAGGATAAAGTTCTGTACACTGATTTTAAGCATGTTCTCGCGTGCCTATTTTAGTCTGGTCTTCGATTAACATTTTATTGCGTGCCATAGATGTTAAACTTAAGGTTTTTTGACAAATGGATTGTCACCGGCCCAATCCTGAGCATCATCCAGGCGATAATGATACGTATCAATTAATTAACCTTAATTACTCCCTTGATTTCACTGATCAAATTAGCATAATTGGTAATTTCGTCCAAAGCCGATCCTTAGGATCGTTCCCCGGCGGATAATTTTAAAAATACCACATACCTTAATTGTCATATGCGGCATAAGCTTCTTTCGTTTTTTTGAGCTTATCTCCTGGCGATTACACGTATCGTCCAAGCGATATAGTTAACGACGGCTGCCTTAATTAAGAATCCTGGATTAGAGTCTCTGTTTGAACAGATCGTCCAGGAACGATCCAGAGGGATCGGCCTTCTGGAGTTTCCGATTTGGATCAAAAACGATGATTCAAATAAATTCTCAAGAGTGTAGATATATTTCCCCATGTGTGTGAGGTTAGATACCTAGGGTTACTAAGTAAATCTTAAGTCATTTTGAACCTTACAAAAATCTGACTCTAAAATAGAAATACAAAAGATTACAACGACTTAACCCTATGCTACGCAATCACTGTAACTTGGCGTGTCTTGACGTTGATCGTTAACCTCGTCTATCCTTCAGATTCCTGAAAAAGTTAGAAGCAACAAGCAGTCCAAGTAGTGTTTGTCAATTATCAAAACACAAGCCATGAAAAATTAGATTTGCAACACATTTCCTCCACATAATAACAATATATTCCATTAATTTGAATGCCCCGACCACACAGTTCATGAAATTGCATAGGAAACTCAAATTGTAAAATGCATGAAGATCAAAACCATAGCATATAAAGAGAATAATCCCAAGCTAGTAGAAGTTATTTGTTAATCCAGTGAAGCCACCAACATTTTTTTCTGGACACATGAAAAACACAATGATTTGTTTTTTCCTTCTCTCATGACTCACGAGTCACAACCTCGAGCACGGCTTTCGTTTTTTCTTTTGCTCCTCTCTCACCCTCAAACGAAGACAATCCATGCCAAATGTTTATGTTTTTATTAGTTCTAAGGATCACGTTATTTACATTTTTAATTTTGATCTTACAGTTCATCTTGGCTCCGGTAATGAGATGACAAATGAAACTATTTTAATATACTCTAATATTTCAAATGAGATGATAAATATAACTATTTTAATTTAGACCATTTTGAATAAAATTTCTTGCTCGATCACTATGTTATAATACTATCTTTTTTGTTAAGATAAGTGCTCGAGTGATTCTTGAGTGCCCTTAATTTTATTTCAAGTTAAATATAATATACTGTAAAAGAATAATATGCAAATAGATTTTTCATGCGTCGGTTTTTTTAGAATAGTAAATGCGTCATGCAGCTGAATTAGTGAAGATGCGGAAGTCACACAACTCTTCTTGGCCTATTGGTTGAAAGCTTAGGCTTCCAACTAAGAGGTCCAAGGTTCGAGTTCATGTGTATGCGTTGTGTGTATGAGTTTGACTTAAATGACCTAAATGTCTAAAAAAAAAAAAAAAAAAAAAAAGAGATGCGGAAGTCCGCATAGACAGTTTTTCTTGTGGAGGCACGCTTTGGGTAGCATTCGCAACGAAGAATCTGCCGGGGCCGATAGTGAGATCGAGAGCGCATCCAAAATTTCTATTGAAACATACCCAGAGAGATAGAGGGAAGGATGGAAGACGCAAGAGAATCTCGCCGGAAGAGGTTGGCGGAGCGCAAAACTGACCGTCTTGCCTTCATAACCGGGCAGAACCGAACCCTAGCTCCATTTGCACCACAAGATGGTAAGTCTTCCGTTGGTGATCTCATCCTTGTCCTTTTAAATATCTTACGTTTTCTTCCTTTCCGAATCTGCCATTTCTCTTTTGAAAGCCAGAACATGTTCAACCATTGAGAATTATTCCTAGGATTGTTCATGTGGCAATTTCTCAAAATAGTTTACACTAACATTTCTGCTCATATCATCAAAGTTTATATATATAGTTGTTTGATTAACGATGGTTTCTGCTGTGGGTTCTTTGTCTTAATCATTGGATCCAAGGAGAATGAGCAATACTGGGTTAAGCTTTAATAACTTGATTCGGTGATGTGGAGAGCATGTATCGTGACCATTCAACGTATGTTTGGCTGGGCCAAATGATCTGATATGTTAGGTCTTAATACCAGTTTTGTTTGTGGGAAGGGGAGAATAGTATCTCTGTACTCCGAGAAATGAATTTTATGGAAATTGACCAAAAAATGGAATGTGTAAGTTTTATATAGAACAAGGGGATCGAGTTTCTATGAAATAATTGTGGGGATTAGGTTTATTCCTCTAATCCACCGATAGAGGAGAGAGGATGGGTTAGTGGCTTTGCTCCTTGGAACTTGTGCTTTTGAATTTGATCACACATTGAGAGAGAAAGAGAGACAATGAATAGGCCTCTCGGCCAAGAATTAAAAGGAGTGAGAGAGAAATTGGGAAGGAAAATCATTCTATTGCAATAAGCTTAATTTTACATATTAAAGCATTTATTTATGTAAAAATTAAGATCTAATTCATGTCTATCTAAAATTACAACTAACTCCACTAATTTTTGATTTCCTATCCTAAACCCTAAACCCTAAATCAATTAAATCAATAGAATATTTCCTTGAATCTCTCTTTGAAGGATTGCTGCCCATGTTGAAATAGGTGGAGAAAATAAGGCAAGAATATTGGGTAGTTACTTGATTCCCTTCATAGAAATCCTTTCTTATGCTAATTTCACAGTCCACTCCTAATTTTCAAATTGCATATTAACAATTAATCCCATTAATTTTTTTGGGTAAATTTATTCTTGCATGGTCAAACTTGTGATTTTTTTTGTTAATCTATCCTTGCAAGAGCCTTTTGGATCTTCGGTCCTCTTTTTTTATTTTTTGTGCCAACAAATACATTCAATCGTAGAGCTATAATTACGTAGAAATAAGATCAATATTTGACTTATGATGTTGATATTAATTATATCAAAACTAGAATATTTATTTTTTATTCAAGCCAACTCATGTGGCCGTCCCATGTGATGGTCATTCTTGTTGATTAAACTTATGGATAATTTCCTTCATAGAATGCTTGTGCATCATGCCCATATTTTGTTGATGCAATCATATTTTGATTGATCTTAGTATTGAGCAATATTAAATGAAGCCGAAGTTAACGTACTATCTCAAACAAGGAATTGTACTAGCATAAAAGTATTAGTGCAATGGGAATTCCTCTTTTTTTCTATCCTTTGGAACATCTTCATATAAACAAGTCATGTCCTTTGAATTAATCAAACCTATCCCAACATCTTATTTTGCCCCCCTCAATACACTGTTGACTTCCTTTGGCAGTCACCTTGTGATCTATTCTAGCAGTCATTTTGTGCGCCTATTTGATCATATCTATGTCCTTATCATACTTGTCAATGTCGAATGGCGCAACACGACACAAAGTTTCCCGTTGAGCCATGACGCATAGCGCACGACACAAAGCACGCTATTTTGAATACGGTGCAAAATAAAAAAGATTATAAAAAATCTTATATGGATCCTATTTTAGAGTATCAATTAAGTTGGGTAAGGCTTGGTTG